TTATCCAATCACGTGCGCCAGATTGCCAGATTTACTTAACAGATAAAATTTACCGAAAGGTGAAACAATCGACCCTAAATATTTTGTTAGTAATTATAACTTAAAACTTAATAAAATACCTTATAAATCTAATTTCAGAAAAGTACCTTATATAGTATGGCAGAAAATATGAAAAAAGTAATTTGTTTTACTATATTTTACTATATTTTTAAAAAAGTAATTTGTTTTACTATATTTTATTATATTTTACTATATTTTACTATATTTTACTATATTTTACTATATTTTTATAGTTTAAGGTTTTGAAATTAATTAAAATTTTCTTCACTAAAAAATAGAAAATAAATTACCTATAACATTTTGTACTAATGTAAGGCCATTTTCATTTGTAATTCTCTTTCTCCTGTTTCGTCTGTTACTATTAAATAATTTTCCGTTTTACATGCGTAAAAGTATATCCCAGATCCGCGGAACAACTATGGGTCTATCAAGTATCTAGGTCTAGTCTAAGTCGGCAACACTTTCAAAAATTTAGGTTAAAATAAGCAGATACTCATTACTGCGCATGTCGAGTTATTTTTACTCACCTCTTTGACATGAGTTAAGAAAGTTAACTCGAGAGTTAATTCTATCAAATTTATGAACGGCTTATTCTGAACGTACTTCCAGTCATATTCGAGTTTCTGAACGCTATAAAGCTAACTCTAGTTAACTCTGAGTTAAAGAGTAAACTTTATGAACGCAGCCCAGTGGAATCCGATTCGCGTCATCCGCGATCCACGGATGACGGATCTACCACCACCGGATCCTCGTGACGCCGTGACGCGTTCCGCGCGGTTCCGCGCGGCATGACGATTATAGGTAAGTAATAGCTTACTTCCTTTCTTCGATTGCGGTTTGCGATTATTTGCGATCGACGTTTAAGCAAACGTGTCCTAAATGAGGAGAACAAACAAGAGGGAGAAAAATTGTAAGTAAACGGATCCGAGGGGTACAACAGCAATATGCAATAGCGCTGTCCATCAGCTATCATTAGAGATCTTCAAGTAAGGGTGTGTTCCGATATAGACTGTCAGTGCTGGCAGTACTGAAAAATCATTCCATTATTAGTGCGCAGCACACTGCAACAGCATCTAGTAACATCAATGACATAAATGGTAGCCATATTGCCATTGCAACTACTGCAGCTTCGAGGTGAGGCAGTTACAGTAGAAATATGGCGTCGAACATGGCATTATCAACGCCAATGATATATCCACATCAGGGTACGTATTATGGAATTATTCGAAATTGATACCGATCAAAATTATTCAATTATTCTTCACATTTCTATCGTATTTTCTAGAGAAAACGGGAAAATTACGATCGGAATTCATTCCGATACGTTCCATGATAAATACCTTGGTACTACTGAAAAAGTAAAAATATTAGATCCTGAACATTATATATATTTTTTATTTAAATGTAGAAGATGCGCATAAAGTACGCGATGGTAAGTGAGGTATCACTGCTTTCGTTCAATATTTCTATTGCAATCATGCAAATTTGTAACTTAACCTATTTATTTACTGCGTGCATCGCCATGTTGATAGCATTTGAAATTTGTTCCGATATATGCTGTTACAGCCATGCTGGCAGTAATGCAGTAATTGTGGAAGTTGTCACAGTATACTGACATCATGTTTACTGCACTGCCAGTAAAAACGGAACACACCCTAAGAGATGCGCGAATTAAAATCGCTACGGGATTGGTTGATGACGACGTTCAAGAATATGGCGCAACCAATGGCGCAACCGTATTTTATTCTCACTTACATAAGATAAAACGCGACGAACATAAATCTAACTAAGGCCGGTATTCATAGTCCGTTCTTATTTCAAGATCGTCTTAAGTAATGTCTTAAGATGCTAATATGGCCCTCTGATTAGTTCATGACATCTTAAGACTGTACTTAAGACGGTCTTGAATATAAGAATCGATTATGAATACCGCCCTAAGTGAATATATGATATTCACTTCGCTAAATTTATGTTTGTCGCATCTTTACTTTGTGAGTATACTTACTAGAAGATGATACATATTAAAAACAAAGGAAGTAGGAAAAACGTAATGTATAAAGTGTAATGTTCACATATGTATGATTTTATTTAGAGAATACACTTTATGATTTTATTTAGAGAATATTTTTATTTAGAGAACACTTTATGATTTTATTTAGAAAATACTTTAGAGAATACACTTTATGATTTTATTTAGAGAATACTTGAGGATCTCTAGCTGGGGACACAGACTTTTGCATATCGCATAACGCATAATTGAAGATGTAAAAAAACGGTATTTTTTACTTCGGAGAATCAAGTAAAAAACTAGTTCTTTTACTGTAAATAACGGTATTTTGGACCAAATTACATAAAATTTATAAAAAAAACATATTTCAATATAATTATTTGAACGACAGATATTTTATATTTAAAAGCTAAATAAGTGATATTATTGATACAGATGATGCTTCGGCTACGATCCACTTGACGTTATAAATGCTTCGAAGCGTTTGAGCGACCAATCAGAACAAAGAATTTTACGAATTGACTAATCAAAGAATGCTTCGAAGCTTTTGTAGCGTCAAGTGGACTGCAGCCTTCATAAGCATAACAGATACTGTTTCGTTGCAGATTGATTATAATTGTATTCTGTTTTAATTATTTTGTATTCTATATTTTATTTATTTTGAGACAACATTCCAATATAATAATGGCTGCGTTCAGCAGACTCAACAGTTTTGCAACCGTTTTATGATTGTCTGCTGAGATAGGACCATTCTTCTAGATCTAAAAGTATGATCCAATCAGCGCGAAGGAAACTTCCAACAGTTGCAAAACAAACGTTCTGCTGAACGCAGCCATTGATTCAAGAGTAATTAGAGATTCGATAAACGTTTTCTTACAAATTTAAATTTAGAATATGTACAACACACAGTATATGTGTACAATCACAGTATACAACAAAAACATTGTCAATTAGTTTAATAAAGTATTATTTGTATTAATAACAGTATGGAACACTTACTTTTTAAATTGAAGTACAATATAAAACATCATTCAAATAATAGTGAAAGATAAGGTATATTTATAGCCATCAACATTAAACTATATTAATTATTATATCATATTTTAACTTTTTAACTATTTTTAGAATTTTTTCGTCGTTTACATCTGTACGCATAATACATAAGAAACTATACCAATCAAAGTCCTTAAGGACTTTGCATGTTATCTGGGTTCATTTCCTTCCTTTCTGTAAAATAAAAGATTTTGGATTGATTTTTTTATATTTTATGCATTATGCAAAGATTTGTGTTTAAACCTGAAAAAGAGAAAAATATTCAGTTATGTCATGAAAATGTATTTTATAAATTTAATAATGTATATTATAAATTTACATGTATATAATATAAACTATATATTGATAAACTATTAATATAATTATTTTCAGATACTATGCAGTTCGTTTCATTGGCTGCAAAGAATCTGAAGATAGTTTAATTTGTATTTCAGATAGTCTAATCTGAATAAATATAAGATTTGACTACGAATAGTGGCCTAGGATTTGGCTGTTAACTCTCTAAATCTGAATCAGTGGATAATTACTGACATCAGTGCCAAGTATGCCATTGGTAAGTGGCAGTGAATGAAATGTGAGATCCCTAATCTAGCTGATCTTTATTATGTGATCTAACCAACTTTGTTTTAGTGCATAAATTCAATAAATATGGAATTGGAAGATTGAAATTAACACGCAAATATCAGCATTTTAGTTATATAATGCTCGAACAGTTTTCCTTTTTTAATTGAACTTCACTGATTATCAGTACCAAGTATGCCACTAGGTAATTAGTGACTATCCACTGATTCAGATTTAGAGAGAAGTAAATGTAATCCTCACTGTAAATACCTCACAAATACAGCTAGAATCCGTGGGTATCCAATTCATTCGTGGAATATTTATAACCTTGGTGAAAAAATTTGCTGAAAGCTTTTTAGGTGCTCTAGGAAAGCTGAAAGTTTTCTACATTTTGGAATATTTCAGCGAAAGTGCTGAAAATTTGCTGAAATTTCACTGAAAATGAATTTTTCAGCTAACATATTGAAAAATCGCTGAAATTTCTCTGAAATTTTGCTAAAATTTTGCTGAAAATGAATTTTTCAACTAAAAATCGCTGAAATTAAACAGAAATTTTTCTAAAATGCT